CATAGTTGTTTTTTGGGGGCAGAGTCCATTGTTTTCATCAGATTAATTCATAATGGTTAAGAACCATTGATCTAAAATGAGATCTGAAGAAGGAGTCATAGTTATTCAGAAGAGAGATGAGTATGAGGGAAGAATATATATTCCAGGCAAAGAGAAATGAGAAAGAACATGACCTGTTCCAGGTCTCTAAGAAGTTGAATGTGGCAGAAGTACAGCATGCAAAGGGAGGAACAGGGAGACGAGGCTGGAGATATAAGCAGGATCTAGACCACTGGAGGGCCTTGTGGGCCATGCCAAGGAGTTCAGACTTCATCCTGAGAGCGGTGGAAAGCCCCTGACAGATTTTAAGAAGCTAAGAGATACATCAGGTTGATATTTTAGATGTGATAGCTATAGTGTAGAAAATGGGCTAGGAGTGAGGGAAGAAAATAGGAGGCAGATTGACCAGTTCAAAGGTTGCTAGAGGAAATTAGGTGAAAGATGATGTTGGCCTGGACTTAAGGACTAGGTCTTAAACTTCTTTAAATCCTCAGGCTATACCTGAGGACCTTGTACGTAGACAGCTCCAAAAACCACACAGAGCCTAGGACAGCAAGCAATTCCATACTTCTATCAGGTCAAGTGATGATAGGGGTTCATACCCTGAGCCCACATATTCTTTAAAACTTGGTTCCTTTAGGGGCGCCTGGGTGACTCAGTCGTTAAGCGTCTACCTTTGGCTCGGGTCATGGTTCCAGGGTCCTGGGATCGAGCCCCACATCAGGCTCTCTGCTCGGCGGGAAGCCTGCTTCTCCCTCTCCCACTCCCCCTGCTTGTGTTCCCTCTCTCACTGTGTCTCTCTCTGTCAAATAAATACACAAAATCTTAAAAAAAAAAAAAAAAGACTCTTAAATAAAATAAAACTTGGTTCCTTTAACACCATAAGAGGGGGCTGTTTTTAATGTACCTGGACGACATGTAGGGACCCACATGGAGTACAAATACTCTAGTAAATAGAACCCATAGTGAAGGGCATGATAACAAAGAAGACAAAAACTGACTCAGCTATTGGGTAAAATTAGCTTCCCTGGTAATGGAGTTGCTACATAGGGAGGAAGCAGGGGAATCTAAAGTATTCCATATTCACAGGACAAAGATGGGCAAAATGCAGCGTCACTGGCCTGTCCAATGTCTATGCTAAAGGAGTGCTGGACCGTTTGAGTGATGGCCCATCCCAGATCTTCTCACAAGCTGATTGCCTCTCCACACTCTCCTGTGTGCACTCAGACCTGTTTCACATTTATTCCACGTTATTCTAGGCAGGACATGGTCAAGGAACAGAGCTGATATCTGGGACACTTGGGCAGTATGAACTCAGAGGACAAAAAAATAAAAACACGTTAAGCCCGAGTAAAAAGATCGTAATCACACCACTCAAGTCAGAAGAATGTCACGAGTACTTTTTCCTTTTCATTTTGGCCTTAAACATGCTGATAGAAATGGACTTAATGAGAGTCAGCTGGGCCTCTTCATGACTAAATTTATGGATTTTGAAGCTGAACCTGATCATCAGAACAAAATTTTACAATGTTACTTTTTGTTTGCACCTGTTTATCAAGGTTTAAGCAAAATCAAGGGGCCTTGAAAAATACACAAATCTCATATATTGCTGATGGAAGTATAAGCTGGTACAACTGTTCCAAGAACTGTGGACTTCTGGCATGTGTCTCACAAGTCTTCAAAATGTGCACACCCTTATTCTAGGGATCTATGCTAAGGAAATATTCAGAAGGTAAATAAGATTAAGAGGCAAAGCTACCCATTCTAGAATCACTTGTAGTAGCAAAATATTAGAAAGAATTGTATTTTCTAACCAAAGAGGAAATGGATTTTCAATTAGGATATATATGATGGAATCTTATGAAGCCATTAAAATGATGATGTAGATGTGATTTCACTGACATGAAAATATATTGACCATATACCGCTGGTTCAATTAAGCAAATTTTCATTGAGCACCTACTACATGGAAGATCATGTCAGGCAGCAGGGACACAGCAGTGAATTCAGGTACAGTTCTTAACTGACTGACCAGAGCAATCAGATATTGAGGAAATAATGAGATAAGCACTAATACTAAAGACAAGCACAAAGTATCGTAAGAGTAAATAGCAAATGAATTTAACCTAATCCAAGGGGATCATGGGAAAGCCGACCTGAGGAAGTGCTGCTTCAGCAGTAATGAAAGATGCAAAGGAGTTAGACAGGCAAAGAGGCAGTGGGAAGAACATTCCAGGGCGATGAACAGCAACTTTTTTTAAAGTATACACATTACATCAACTGTGTATATACAAAATGAATTTATATTAAAAATTTATTTTGGGGGTGCCTGGGTGGCTCAGCTGGTTAAGTGGCTGCCTTCAGCTCAGGTCATAATCTCAGGGTCCTGGGATTGAGCCCCACATTGGGCTCCCTGTTTACCAGGGGGCCTGCTTCTCCCCCTCCCCCCTGCTCATGCTCTCTCTCTCAATAAATATTTTTTAAAAATTATTTTGTATCTGTACATATTTACAAATATAAAGTCTGAAAGGATATAAACTATAATCTTATCTGTATGTTGTATTACATGTAATTTTTTATTTTTGTTTTTTGGCTTGTCTACATTTTCTCGTTTTTTTTTCCTGCAATGAACATATGTGAGTAGTATTTAGATGGGTAGATGGATGGGTGGGTGAAGAGACAGGCAGACGGATGGCTGGCTGGCTGGCTAGATATATGGAAGGATACAAGGATGGACAGTAACCAGATTCAACAGAAGATTTGAGCTGGGCATCACATTAGACTGTCTTCTTCTTGATTTTTTTCCTCCCTTCAATGACTAGACTCCAAGATCTGCTCCAGAAGCATCTTTTCTATCTGTTAACAGAATCACCTTGTTTTGGTTAGGCGCTTCCACTACCCCAGAGGCAAGCTCATTAGCCACAAGTGGAGCCAAAACTACAATTCCAAACAGATTTCCTCTCTCCACACTGGACCTTCCAAGCCACACAGGCAAGAGAAGAAGGATGGGCAGAGCTACTTAGTGAAGGGGCAGCTAAGTAACTATTACAAACAAAATGAATTATTTTAAAGAGAGAGAGACGGAGGAAGGAGAGAGGGGAACAAAGAAATAAAAACCTTACTACTAGAGTATGAAACTATGCCAAAGAGAATGCAGCTCAAACCTTCCAGGTAGTAAAATTAGCTGGTTTTCTAAGCCACATTTTCCAGGCTACTATTTCCCAGCCCAAGGCTCACAGTGAGGTAAGAGTGTCTTGGTCTGCTTAGGAGAGGCATAGCTCCAAGTTGAGACCAGCTCCTTCACATGAGGAGCCAACAGGGAGCCCCAGGTGAGGAACTCTCAAAACACAAGTACTAAGTCACCCCCAACTAGAACCACTCTCACCCAGGATTCAGCAAAAATTGGGTGCCTGCACTCACCCATTCTTAGCAAGCCCACATTCATTCTTTCAAACTTCATTTATTTACTTCTCCTAAACACCATGCCCTGTGGTTGGCTCTGAGGATTCAACTGTGACAAGACATGGTGCTCAAATGCTCAAAGCTCACCATCAACCGTGGAGACATTTCATTCATTCATTTAAAAAACATCTGACTCCTACTGTGTACCAGATGCTTAGGATGTGATAGTAAACAACACCTCTGTCTTCATGGAGCTTACAGTCTAATGAGGAGAGAAAGATAAAAAAACACATCAACAACCAACAACAGGATTTTCAGACAGGGACAAATGTTATGAAAAAATATATAGTGGGGAACTATGGCAAGGATCGTCAGAGGGGGCCTCTCAGAGGAGACACCTGAGCAGTAAACTGCAGGATGAGGGAAGCCTGGGTGGTTCAGTCGGTTAAGCATCTATCTGCCTTCAGCTCAGGTCATGAGGCCAGGGTCCCAGGTTCGAGTCCCACATTGGGCTCCTTGCTCAGAGAGGAGCCTGCTTCTCCCTCTGCCTGCCGCCTCCCCTGCTTGTGCACGCACTCTCCCTCTCTCTCTCTGACAAATAAAATCTTTAAAAAAAAAATTAAAAATTAAAAAAACTGCAGGATGAGAAGCAGCCAATACACCAAACGCCTGAGCACAGGCACAGCAGACCCCAGGAAACAAACAAGAACACAGAGGGATGGTGACCATGCTCAAAAGCAGCACTGGGTACTTGGCGATCGTGGGAAGGAACACCTGACCCAGTCCGAGGGTCTCACCCAGCCCAGCTGGCCCTCGGTCAGCAATGATTTATAGCTCAGGGGAGGTGCTGTGAAGTACTACAGACAGGAAGTTCCGCCCATGGGTTTCAAGGAATTCAGTCTCTCATGTGAACTAGTTGGACAGGGCTATTTGGCATGTACAGGAAGCAGGGACTCTCTAGAAAGTTGGCAAAAGTGCTGAAACTGAATGCCAGATGGCGAAAATTCCTGTCTTACTCTCCCCTCCAAGCCCCACCATCACTTCTCCCTAATCTCTTCCACACTCCTGTAAAGGCCCAAGGAGGTTCGAAGACCTTGCCTGGTAGGAATGGCTAGGGAAGGACAAGCTAGTCCAGCATGGGGCCAGGCATCAAGAAACCAAGTTCCACTCATTTACTGTGTGAGCTGGGGCAAGTCCCTTTCCCTTTTCTCGGCCTTAGTGTTTCCCATCTGCAAAATGGAAGATCAGAGGCGTGGGGATGAGCCAAGAGCCTACACGTCTAAAAGCTCCCCTACACAATTATGATGTGCATGCCAAAGTCTGAGAACTAATAACCTGATGCTACCTCTTCTTTCCTCAGAGTGGGCAAGGGGCTGCATGCCAGGCTGGTTGCATCAAGTCCTCCATGGTGCAAAACATAGTCTCTGGCACACAGAAGCTCCTCATAGTGAGTGTCACAGCATTCTCTCTCCGCCCTCCCCTCATGCCACCACCCGAAATATTCCCTCAGCGGGGCTGTGGGCCCGAAACTGTGGGTTATTGTTTGCCCCTCACCGTACCTGTGAACATTGCACAGAAGTAGGGGCTGCAGGCTGCCAGGACCACACGGTGGGCTTCTATCTCGACATCTTCCGCCACAATCATCACGTCACACAACAGCTGTTTACTGTAAAACACCAGTGAGGGGACAGCATGGGTCACAGCACCAATGCCCACCCCCAGCCACACAAGGATATGTTTTTCTTCCACCCAGATTCCACGCTGCCACCATACAAGGCTGTCACAGACATTTGCCGTGCCGAGTTAAGGCAGGGGGATGAGCTCATCGACTTTTCCAAGTCCCTGATAAACCTGGCATTCATGCTTTCCTAAGGCACACAGAGAGATCCAACTACCCCGTACTGCCAATTCAGGTCTCCTTCATTTGTCTTCACATCTCTGCTCCTCAACTCCAGCAACTCTGACTGAGATGGTAAGGGGTGGGGGGAGGACAGCAGCTCAGAGAGCAAGGGGGGAAGCCTGGGGCTATGCGTTGGGTGACTGCCTGAATGCCAAGGAGCATGCCACCAAGGTGTGCCACCAGTGAGAACAAGTATTAACAATCCCCCAGGGGATCCAATATCTATGAAATACTGGTAAGAGGCAAGCCAGGTCTGGAGGCCTCAAGTATTCATCTTCCCACCCAGATTTAACATTATCACCAAGAAGGTTACTCCTGAAGACCCTGTGCAAACTCCAATCCTTGCAATTGTTAAGGATACTGTAACTACCTTTTTACTTGTCATCCCCACTACACTGTGCCCTCTGAAAAGGACTTGTTTACTGTTATATCCTAAACACCTGGCTGCAAGCCTAGCATATAGAAAGCCCTAAGTTTTTACTAAATAAATGAATAAATGAATAAACTCTGAAAAGGGATCAATCCACACTCATAGACAGAATGAATATTAGACTACTTTGAAGGATTGAAAAGGTTCCACAAGACCGTTTCAACCCAAGAATTTTTCTCCCACCAGCCTTCCAATAGTTAACATTTATTAAGTTCTATGTGCTAGGCACTGTTCTAAGCACTTTTTTATACCTAATATTTCATTCATTCCTCTCTAAAACCCCAAGAGATAGGGTTATTATTATGTTCCATATTACAAAAAAGGAAACTGTGGCCCAGAGAAGTTAAGTAATTTTCTCAAGTTCATACAAAAAGGGAGTAGTGGAAACAAGACTTGAATGGAGGTAGCTAAATTCCAGAACCCATGTTCCTAACATCCAAGGTTTCCCGGTCACCACTAATCCCTCCTTCAGAGTGAAGCACTAGAGGTGGGAGGGAAGACAGGACAAACACATGTCAACTGCGATCCAGTGGCAGTAGTTACTTAGTGCACTACACTGGACTGCAAAGTCTGAGTCATGACTAGGCTCCATGTGAGAGCAATAAGATGAATATAATGAGTCTGCCAGGATCAATTGATGGAATAGAAGCTACCTATTTGTCAGCCCTGGTGTCGCATATTAAACCTTTGCCAACTATTCAGACATTAGTCCAAGACTGCTTATCAGAGAAATAGAATCATAAGGCCTGAAAAGGCTAGAGCTGTAAATGCCAGATGATCTATGACGTTCAGAGAGGTGGCCCAAAACCACGGAAGGCTGAGTCTTGAATCTAGTTCTGACTCTGGATATTCTACCATAATGACTCATGACTGGCTGATACTTTGAAAGAGAAAACAACAGAAGAGAAGTTAGCTCCAAGAGGGAAAGGTGAAAAGAATAAAGTCCCCATGAGGGGGCTTCTGGGAAGGGTGAGACCTCCAAGCAGCAAGAGGCAAAACCTGGGGATGGGACCTCACCCTACAGTGGACAGCAGGCTCTAAATATAAATTTTATCAGAATAAACCAGCTCAACTGGGAAGAGAACTGGCTCTGCCCCTAACTGGCTATAAGAACATGGACAAACAATGTCACCACAGTATTCTCATCTTTCTTAGTGGATGTCCATTGACCGTGGGGACCAGATAAGATTGCAAATGCCATCTGAGAACAGGCTAGTTTTTTTTATTATGTTATGTTAATCACCATACATCATTAGTTTTTGATGTAGTGGTCCGTGATTCATTGTTTGCGTATAACACCCAGTGCTCCATGCAGAACGTGCCCTCTTTAATAACCATCACCAGGCTAACCCATTCCCCACCCCCCTCCCCTCTAGAACCCTCAGTTTGTTTCTAAGAGTCCATAGTCTCTCATGGTTCGTCTCCCCCTCTGATTTCCCCCCTTTCATTTTTCCCTTTCTGCTATCTTCTTCTTCTTTTTTTTTTTTTTAACATATAATGTATTATTTGTTTCAGAGGTACAGGTCTGTGATTCAACAGTCCTACACAATTCACAGCACTCACCACAGCACATACCCTCCCCAATGTCCATCACCCAGCCACCCCATCCCTCCCACCCCACCCCCCACTCCAGCAACCCTCAGTTTGTTTCCTGAGATTAAGAATTCCTCATATGAGTGAGGTCATATGATACATGTCTTTCTCTGTTTGACTTATTTCGCTCAGCATAATACCCTCCAGTTCCATCCACGTCGTTGCAAATGGCAAGACTTCATTCCTTTTTGATGGCTGCATAATATTCCTGTGTGTGTGTGTGTGTGTGTGTGTGTGTGTGTATACACACATCTTCTTTATCCATTCATCTGTTGATGGACATCTTGGCTCTTTCCATAATTTGGCTATTGTGGACATTGCTGCTATAAACATCGGGCTGCACGTACCCCTTCAGATCACTAAATTTGTATCTTTGGGCTAAATACCCAGTGTTGCAGTTGCTGGGTCATAGGGTAGCTCTATTTTCAACTTTTTGAGGAACCTCTATACTGTTATCCAGAGTGGCTGGACCAGCTTGCATTCCCACCAACAGTGTAGGAGGGTTCCCCTTTCTCCGCATCCTCGCCAACATCTGTTGTTTCCTGACTTATTAATTTTAGCCATTCTGACTGGTGTGAGGTGGTATCTCATTGAGGTTTTGATTTGGATTTCCCTGATGCCGAGTGATGTTGAGCACTTTTTCATGTGTCTGTTGGCCATTAGGATGTCTTCTTTGCAGAAATGTCTGTTCATGTCTTCTGCCCATTTCTTCATTGGATTATTTGTTCTTTGGGTGTTGAGTTTGATAAGTTCTTTATAGATCTGGCCAAAATTTATTGTAAAAATGTATTCCCAACATTTTCACTTCACTTTCATTAAAAATTTTAGGGAGACAATGGAGTTCTCTTATCACTACTATTTAAAAGTACAAGTAACTTGTCAACTATACTTCAATTTAAAAAAAAGAACAACTGACCAAAAAGTACAACTGTTGTTGTTGTTGTTCTCATAATCAGTATTTTAATAAGGAAAAGTAAAACAGATGAGTCAGAAATGGTGAGCAAAAGCTGAGCCAGATGCTGAAAAGGAAAATGTCAGAGTGGGATGTCTTGCACAAACCCAGAGGAGCTGATTGTTCATGAACAAATGGGAAAGAGACAAGAAGGAATGAGGAATAAAGATGGAGAATCCAGTTAAGCAAATGAATGAGAATGGTTCTGATGGACTGGAAGTGTATCTCAAGGCTAGAAAAACTGCAGCCTAGGAAAGTGACCAAGACAAACTCGCCAGAAACTCAATGTCGGCTTTCCCTGGGAATAGTAAAGCCTGTCTGAACACTGGAGTGTATCCACTCTGTATGAAAAAGAGAAGAAGCTCTAAAGCACTGCATGGCTCAGAAGCATTTCTAATTCCATTTATTAGAAATCTTATAGGAGGGCGCCTGGGTGGCTCAGTCGGTTGAGCGACTGCCTTCGGCTCAGGTCATGATCCCAGGGTCCTGGGATCGAGTCCCACATCGGGCTCCCTGCTCTGCGGGGAGCCTGCTTCTCCCTCTCCCACTCCCCCTGCTTGTGTTCCCTCTCTCGCTGTGTCTCTCTCTGTCAAATAAATAAATAAAATCTTTAAAAAAAAAAAAAAGAAATCTTATAGGATTCTTTTTTTCTGGAATATTAGTCATAAAAGGGAGATGTCATTTGTGACAACATGGATAAAACTAGAAGGTATTATGCTGAGTGAAATAAGTCAGACAGAGAAAGCCAAATACCATATAATTTCACTTATATGTGGAATCTAAAAAAAACATGAATTGAAAAACCCCTCAAAACAGACACAGGCTTGTAAATACAGGGAAAAATTGGTGGTTGCCAGAGGAGAGGGGAGTGGGGGAATGGACAAAATAGGTAAAGGGAATTAAGAGGTACAGACTACTGTACCTTGAGATTGTTCTGTGGAGTAGTGTGTGTCACACTACTCCACAGAACAATCTCAAGAAGAAAAAAGTAGGGCTATATACTTTGTGATAGCTGTTAGGAAGGAGCTCAGGCCCTGGAATCAAAGTGACCAGGGTGCATGTTCCCTGGATATCAGAATTCAGATGTGTTATAAACAAGATAATGAATAGTGCTAATAGTAAGCTTTCAGTAAATGTTAACATTTCTTTTTTTCCACAAAACACTTCATTTAAGATTAGCAGTTAAGTTAAAACTGTTAAGGTTAAATTTGAGCTGCATATTAGACATCTAAGTAGGGTTTATCAAGTAGGGAAATTGATACATGAGTCTTAATTTCAAAGGTGGGAGATGGTTAAGAGGTCAGAGGGAAGAGAAAGAACCAGCTAAAGAAATGAGAAAGTAACAGTGAGACAGGAGGAAAACCAAAAAAAGCATGGTGTCCATGAGGTCAAGTGAAGAGAGGGCTACAAAAAAGCAAGGAATAACCAACTATACCAAATACTACTGATAAGTAAGAGAAGATTAGGATTGCTAGCCAGGGCAATTAAGCAAGAAAATGAAATAGAACATGAAAATGAAAAACATGCAAATTGAAAAGGAAGAAATAAAACTATCTCTATTCATACATGACATGATCTCATATATAGAAAATCCTATAAGAAATACACCAAAAAAAATTAAAACAAATGAGTTTAAGGTTGCAGAATATAATATCAATAAACAAAATCAACTGTATTTCTATACACATGCAATGAACAAAAAATGATATTAAGAAAAATTCCATTTATGGGCGCCTGGGTGGCTCAGTTGGTTAAGCGACTGCCTTCGGCTCAGGTCATGATCCTAGAGTC